TATAAGTCTGTCTATGAGAGGAAGAGGAAAGCTATCATTCGGGCATCCTTTGTTTAGGTCGGTGTAATCGACACACATTCTCCACAAGACCTTTTAGAGCAGGAGACTTTCCTTGGTCGAATTTTTCTTAACAATGACAACATTTGCTACCCATGTTGGATAATTGACTTTGCTGACGAAGCCTATGCCTTTGAGTATTTCAACTTCTGCCTTCATTGCCTCGTACCGTTCAGAGTCATAAGATCTTCGCTTCTGTCTCACTGGTTTAATCTTGGCGTCAATACTTAAGCGATGACAGATTATATCGGAAGAGATGCCTGGCATGTCCTCGTATGACCAGGCGAAGACCTCAATGTTCTCTTGCAAAAAAATGATCAATGCCAACCAAATGGGTGGTGACAAGGTGCTACCAATCTTCACCATGCGATCCGGATAATTTTTTTAGATAGAGACCTTTTCCAACTCTTCAACGGGTTGTGCTTGCTGGGTGAAAGAGTCATCTCGAAGATCGTCAGGTTGACTGTTGCCACCGTGAAGACCCAAGTTGGCTTCGTCTGGGCTGGTCTTTATGACTTGGTCATGTATAGAAAGGGTTTCCTTGGGCACATGCAGGTGTTGTTGCTTGACCGAAGTGTTATAACATGATCGTGCACTAAGTTGATCTCCTCTGATGTAACCATTGCCATAAGGGGTTGGAAATTTCATTAACAACATATGTGTGGATACCATGGCCTTGAGATCATTGATGCCTGTGCGTCCGAAGATGACATTGTATGCCGTTAGGCAATCAACCACCAGAAAGTTAGTGGTAATGGTAGCTGTGTAAGGGCCTGTACCAATGGTGAAAGGTAAGTGTATACTCCCCAAAGGTTGCACGATATCACCGGAGAAGCTTATCAGAGGGGAAATCGAGCCGTCGAGCAAGTGTTCAGCTACATTAAGTGCCCTGAAAGCTTCAGCAAACATGATATTGACCGAAGCCCTCGTGTCTACCAGGATTCGTCGTACTTCAAAGTTGGCTATGTGAGCTTCCACGATCAGTGGGTCGTTGTGAGGGTAGATGATACCTCTTTCTTCCTCAGGGTAGAAACATATTGGATCCCAGTTAGGCTTTTGATACTTACCTCCCATGATGTCTTCCACGTGAAACACTTGGTGGCCAGACCTTAAAGCTCGTTCATTATTTTTCATGGCCCTGTTGAAAGATTTAGATATGGGTGTGCGACCACTTATGGAATATATCACATTTACCTGGAGTTGGTTACGGTTACCCCTTGGAGGGTGAATGAGGAATTGATCAATTTTTCCTTCACGTGCCAAAACTTCAATATGATCACGAAGGGTGATACACTTCTTACCGTCATGGCCGTTATGCTCGTGTAGCAGTAAAATGTGCCCGTGTTCTTCGTGAGCTTGTAATCCGGGTGCCTCGGCTTTGGCTTCAGTATCAAGTGTGATATGCTGGGGTAAATGGGGTAAATGGCCACGCATGTGGCGTTCAAAGGTGTGTATGCTTCATACCTCGGGGTAGGGGTAGGGGTTGTCCTGACACATGCTTGACCTACTATGTTGACTGCCTGAGGTCGGGGATTATCATGGCGATACCATTGGTTATCGCGGTAGTGTCCCTTACTCTTTTTACTAAAATGAGACTGGTAAGGATGGAAATCTTTCCTTTTGCCTTAAGATTGATATGTATGTTGACTTGGCGAAGTATTAAGTAAGGTAGATGGAGGCACTGCTGCCGTTTGGAAGCTCGAGGTCTTCTTATTTGGTTGGATCTGGCTTCCACTCCCTACTTACTGATAAGGGGTGGTTGTGGGGGGTTTCCCTTGATATGTCCTTGCATCGGCGAATGCATGGTTGTAAGCCTGTGCCATCACCTCAGAGTAAGTCTTCCAAGTGTTGGCATTGATTATGTACTTGAAGAAACAATCACGTAGCCCTGTCGTGAAGGCCTTGAGGGCAGTCTTGTCATCTGCCTCAGCGCAGCGAGAATACTCATGGCTGAAACGACCAACATACTCTCGTAGTGAATCATCCGGCTTCTGGCGAATAATGTACAAGTCATCTGCAGAATGCAAGCGATCGGTCTGAAAGATGTGTTGAGAGACAAATAGTTTCCTCAGTTCCTCAAATGAGTCTACTGTCTCAAGTGGAAGACGACAATACCAGTTTAGAGCTCCACCAGAGAGGGTGGAGGGGAAGAGAAGACATCGCTCTTTGTCGGTATGCATCTGATATGCCATGGTGGACACAAAGAGGTTAAGGTGTTCAATTGGGTCCTCCCTTCCAGTATAGAGTTGTAAACCAAGCTTTTGTTTTATCTTCGCTTGAAGGGAGGTGTCAAGGATCCTCCTTGTGAGAGGGCCATGCCTGGGTTGGTTCCAGTCAGGTATCTCGGCCTGACGTTCGGCCTTCAACTTGTTTACTTCATCAAGGAGCTGTAGGACAAGGGGGTCTTGAGTGGAGTCATGTACCACTAGGATTTCTTTCGTAAGTCTCCATCACCTCTTTGAAGTAGGAAAGTTTGAGTAAGGGTGTGATTTTTCCTTGGACTCGCCGTACTGACTTCTAGGGCGAGTCTGTCGGAATACCTCAGAGTCTCCTGTACCTTCATATTCCTCTAGGACATGTCGTTCCTTCCCTAGATTGGCAGTTGACCTAGGTCGTATGAGGGGACCGAGTTTTTCAGAAACCCTTGGGTCATTGATCTTCGAGCATATGTGGAGGGGATTCTCTCGACGTTGATTTAAGAAATCTCTGCAGTCACGATAAACGGCTTTCGATCTTTCCAACCCTTCTGCAAAGATGTGTCTTCCTCCACTTCTCTTGCTTTGGGTCGAAGCAGCTGGGTTGAGAGAAGTCTCATGTTGATCAATGTTTTGATGATTAGCTCGCTCCTCATCAGGGATACCCATGTCGAAGGAAGATGACCCTCCGTGTTGGGGGGCACCCAGATGATGGTTTATGTCCATAGGGGCAACAAGCTCGCGTGTTTGAGTACGCATAGTTTTGTGGAGTGTCTCAAAGAGCTTCTCATACTGCTCCTGGAAGACCTCATTCTTCATTGCTATTTTGTTGTTTGGAGCTTCTAGCTCATCGACTTTAGCTTGAAGAGCAACCCTCTTTCCTTTCTTCTTTCGTTGCTTTGCACTAAGTGCAAGAAGGGTGTCATTCTGTGTGTTGTGGCTTCCTTCGCTCCCCATGTTGGAGAGGGATGCCTGGTCAAAAGAGAGTGTACGAATGGTGGAAACCAGCTTGACAAAGATGAAAAGAGTGGGAATAAGTGTCGTTCCCACAGACGGCGCCAAATGTTGATGCACAAAATCAGCGAGGACTTTGGTACAACAGAAAGTGTTAAGTTTGAGACCTTCGCTAGATTGCTCCGGTCACTAGTGTGGATAAGTACGTAAATGGATAGAGACAGGGAAGCAAACACAAGATGTACGTGGTTCACCTAAATTGGCTACGTCCACAGAGTAGAAGAGTTCTCATTAATTGTGAAGGGTTTACACAAGTACATGGTTCAAGCTCTCATTTAGTGAATACTAGTGAATGATTTAGTACAAATGACATTAGGAAATATTGTGAGAGAATGATCTCTATTTATAGTAGAGAGTTTCTAGTTTCATTCTGACATTGACACGTGTCATGTTGTGATTGGCTTCTTATGTTGACATGTGTCGCGCTATGATTGGCTTCTGATGTCGACACGTGTCGCGCTGTGATTCGCCTCCTGGTTGGAGGGAAACTCTTTTAGGTCCTTGATGGTATAATGTTGATCGATGCTCAGTAGTTTCGGGATTGGTCAAGTATGGTACAAACATAATCAATATGAAGCATCAAGTTCTAGTGATCTTCCATCTCAATATAAGGGTCATTTTCTCAAGACAATGGGTCTTCCTTGTGCTCACATGATGATTAGAGAGATGAATATTGAAATCTTACAACTAAATGACATACATCCACAATGGAGGATTGATAGAAGATTGTTTGTCAACGATCATCATGTAAGCTTGGATAATGAACGAGATCAAATAAGTGGCCTTCTATTGGAGTCCAAAGATAAGTATGAAAAGTTGCATCTTACTGAAAAAGAGGATACCAAAAGGCAACTTTGTGAATTTCTTGATACTTCTCTTCCATTAACTCTTGAGCCTAATGTTAAACCTCACAAGGTCGTCCAATGGGTTCTAAAAATAGAAAAGAATCAAGCTCTACAAAACGCGGTCCTTCAAAGTTTGAAATAGTGGAGAAGGCTTAGAAATGTGCTAGACAGGTATGTTATTTTTTTTATTTATCTTTTAATATTGTCTACTATGGTCATGATTATTTATATATATGTATAACTTAATGTTCATTGTTTATAGGTGTGAGCAACATAATGATTTGCCAAAGAAACTTTTTGTTAATAATAGCTTAGATGTATAAAGAACACATGAAGGTACATATATTTTTGTTGATTTTCCCCATAAAAATACTAATCAAGTTTGTTATTTTCTTTCCTTTTCTTGACATGTTTTTATTTTCTTGTAGGTTGGAGTGCATGAGTTTCATATCTTTTTGGAAACATTGACATCTCCTTTGAACACAAGATTAAAGGTCAAACATAGTGTAGGCAGGATGTGAAAACTTGTAATGATATCTGATATATTTTTTGGGGCATGAGGCTACTATTATGGGGATTAAAGTATGTGGATTACTTACTAGTATTTTGTACAATTCATGTAACTTATGCATATATACTATATCATTAGGTAATCGTTTTATTTTTATTTATATAGTGCTGAAACTTATATGTTTTTTTTATAATTGGTGTTTTATACTTGTTTTGGGATCTCTCATGTTAGGTAGTAGAACTTAAGAGTTACAAATGAACATATGTGGTTGAGTGTTTAAAAATAAAAATAAAAGTTTAAAATAAAATAATAATAAGATACCAATTAAGTATTAAAAAATAAAAGAATGTGGGAAAAGTTGTTGAATATCACCACCCGCGATAAAAGAGCAGAAAGAAAACCATTTCTGGGGCCCACAATATCTTATCTCTGATGCGCACAGAAAAAGTAGGTGCTGACGAATGACTTCGCTCTTAGTAAATCATCAATACACCCCACCCTCCCTGAGCTCGCCCGGGATCCGCGTTTCACCGTTACGCCGCCTTGAATCAAGCTCGACTATGGTGGAGCTCAAGCAGTTGCACTCCCAAGTCATGAGGCTCGGCCTCGCCGCTGACAACGAAGCCATGGGATGTGTCGTCAAGTTTTGCGCCCTCTCCAAAAATGGCGATTTGGGTTATGCCCTCCAGATGTTCGACACAATGCCTCAACCGGATGCATTCATTTACAACACCGTAATGAGAGGCTACTTGCAATGCCAATTGCCGAGAGATTGCATTGTTTTGTACTCACGGATGTTGCAGGACTCTGTCCCTCCCAATCGGTACACGTTCCCTTCCATTGTGCGAGCTTGTTGCGCTGATGGTGCTGTTGGAGAAGGGAAGCAAGTCCATGCCCATGTCGTCAAACTTGGGTTTGGAGATGATGGGTTTTGTCAGAACAATTTGATTCACATGTATGTGAAGTTTCAGTCTTTGGAGGAAGCTAGAAGGGTGTTTGACAAGATGCCCCAGGATGTTGTGTCTTGGACGACTTTGATTACTGGGTACTCCCAATGTGGCTTCATTGATGAGGCTTTTGAAATTTTCGAGTTGATGCCTGAGAAGAATTCTGTTTCTTGGAATGCCATGTTTTCCTCTTATGTCCGGAGTGATCGTTTTCACGAGGCGTTTGCTTTGTTCCAAAGAATGCGAGTGGAAAATGTAAAAGGTCGTACCAAGTGCACAAGGCTCCCGCTTTACGCAGGGTCTGGGAGAGGTGAATGTCGGCAGCCTTACCCCCATTTTATGGAGAGGCTGCTCCCAAGTCTCGAACCCGAGACCTACCGCTCATGGGCGAGTGGAAAATGTAGAATTGGATAAATTCATGGCAGCTAGTATGCTGTTGGCTTGTACAGGTTTAGGTGCTCTAGAACAAGGGAAGTGGATACATGGATATATTGAGAAAAGCGGGATTGAATTGGACTCGAAACTTGCAACAATGATCATTGACATGTACTGCAAATGTGGTTGCCTGGAGAAGGCTTTTGAAGTTTTTAACGGGTTGCCAGATAAAGGGATTTCTTCATGGAATTGCATGATTGGTGGGCTAGCAATGCATGGGAAGGGAGAGGCCGCCATTAAACTTTTCGAGCAGATGCAAAGGGATATGGTAGCACCTGACAACATTACTTTTGTTAATGTTCTTAGTGCATGTGCTCACTCAGGGTTAGTAGAAAAGGGGCAGCAGTACTTCCGCAGCATGGTTGAAGTCCACGGTATTGAGCCCCGAACAGAGCATTTTGGCTGCATGGTTGATCTTCTTGGAAGAGCCGGGAGGCTGGAGGAAGCAAGAAAGCTAATAAACGAGATGCCAATGAGCCCCGATGTAGGTGTATTGGGTGCTCTCCTCGGAGCTTGTAAGATCCATGGAAATGTTGAACTGGGAGAGGAAATAGGGAGGAGGGTAATCAAACTGGAAGCAGAAAATAGCGGGCGCTATGTGTTGTTTGCAAATCTATATGCGAATGCGGACAGGTGGGAAGATGTTGCCAATGTGAGAAGATTGATGAATGACAGGGTAGTGAAGAAGGTTCCTGGATTTTCCATGATTGAACTGGAAGGCTCTGTCAATGAATTTATTGCCGGCGGAGGGTCTCATCCTCAGACAAAAGAGATATATGCGAAAGTCGATGAAATGTTGCAATCTATAAGATCTGCAGGATATGTTCCGGACACAGAGGGAGTGTTGCATGATCTTGATGAGGAGGAAAAGAAGAATCCTTTATACTACCACAGTGAGAAACTTGCAATTGCCTTCGGCCTATTGAAGACCAAACCCGGGGAAACTGTTCGTATATCAAAGAATTTACGAGTCTGCAAAGACTGCCACCGGGCAAGCAAGCTCATCTCGAAGGTTTTCCACCGCGAAATAATCGTGAGGGATAGAAATCGCTTCCACCATTTTAGAAGGGGATACTGTTCTTGTAAAGATTACTGGTAAATAGGAATGCTGTCTGGTTGTCCAGAAAATACGTGACATCTTGCTTGAGAAAATACTATATGTATGTATGCCCGGATGTTCATCTAAGTACTGATATACTGATAGAATATATATGTACCTGTATAAATTGCTAACGAATAGTAAAAGCTCTTGGGTGAATTGTTTTGAAAAAAGAAGAAACCATTAGGTACGTTTCATTTACAATTCGTAACCTGAAATATCAAGAATTTGATGGGTTAGGGGTTAAATGTTCTCACACACATTTTCCCACTCTCACATTTTGACTTGTCAATTCATGACCTACTTATTCTAAGTAAGTAAACACAAGGACGGATCTCTTCAATAGCAAGAGCAGCTCACATACCTCGAAAAATCTCTCTATTGGACCGGATTTGTCCATCCAATAGTTGGTTAAGATAGGGTGTGGCTGCATATCCCTTTTTCTACCCACAATCATCTACCATTTTGGGTTTTTCCCACTCTTTCACGCAAATTCACTCGCTCCATTCAAATTTATCTATCACAACTTCCTTCCTCAATTGTTCTGGCGCCATCTTAACAACCCACACACCACCAAAATTTTATATCTTACCCATCCAAAAAAAAAAATTCCTCAATCCTCCACGGTAAACAAATCATGAAATCAAACTAAATTTTCAATAGCTTGCAACACCCATTTTAAGCTTTTTCCCACTTAATTGTCTCATTAGTTTAATCAAATTTGTGGTTTTCTTGACAAAAATTTGATCGCATTTGGGTTGGCGATAGTTTTATGCTTAAAAGTTCATGTCTCCTCTTTGTTAAAAAGTATATAGAGAAATACTAAGAAGCCTCTTTCAATGTAACATACTTCGGCGTATCATTACTATTGTTGAAGATATCAAATGGCTGGCCTCTTCTTTAACTCTATTACTTGGAAGCATATTTTGAGAGAATCTAATTTTGTAGCTGATGCCATCACTTTTTGTGGGCATGGTTTAGATAACTTCCATGTTTGGATTGGCTATGTGCCTCCAACAGCTACTAGTGCCTTGTTGTTTGACTCTAGGACCCTTGGGTGTTCCTGGGGTTTTTCCATCTCTTAATGTTATTTTGCTTCTCAAAAAAAAAAAAAAAAAAGTGGGTCATAGACTTTTTGTCATTTTACAATTTAACGTTAATTCGTGTGTCAATATTATAAAATATTATATAAAAAAACATAAGGTGACAGGAAGTCCACAAAGAGTCCTACTTTTGAGAGAATTCTTAACATTTCTCAAGTATATATTATGTAAATGCGTACCACGTGTCAGTATTAAAACCCGATTAAGCAAGAAGAAAGATTAGCCTAACTTGTAACCGTTACAAAAGACCTTTGGCGACGATTCAACGAATAATTATCCACTCACTGAGTCAAACTCACACAATTAAATTCTGCAATATAAATATTTGTCTTGAATTTTAAAAGAAAAATAAAACAAATAAAAAGAAAATAAAAACTTTTGGGGGGCAAAAGCCGTGTTATATGCGCCATATTTTAATCTTTTAACATTTTTTTTCTCAAATCAATTATTTGTAGGAAATAGTGAAAAATAAAAAAGAAGATTAATATCTTTACCATAAAGAACAGAAACCCTAAAAATCGGCGGGTCGAGCAATCGAGTCGAACCTATCCCACTCGCGACTCACGATTCCGAACGATCCCGGCTCGTTCTTCCTCCTTCCCCCAAATTTTTAATTTTTCCCACCAATCGGACCGTCAAAACCCTAATTTTCCATCGATTTCCCCTCCTTCTTACGTATCAATCATCGCCAAATCCGGATTTCTCTCACCCAAATCCAAAAACTTTCAGATTCGTCGAAATTTCTGACCCAGGTACGGAAAATTTGAGCAAGATTTTTACTTTTCAGTTTTCAGAGACATGGATACTAGTTTTTTTGCTGGGTTTAGTGGAATCAGATTATCCCCTCTTCGTATTATTGTGTTAGAAATTTTTAGCCTTGAATTTTTGGTGTTAGAAAATTTAAGCTGTATTTATTGGTGGTTCATTGTAATTTGCATCAAATTTAGTAACTTTTGGTGTGATTATTTTTATGATGATTCTGGTAGCTACCTACGTACAATGTTTGCTTTCTGCCATGATTTAGTAACTACTTCAGTTCTTGACGTTTTTGTTGTTTCAAGTAATTCTCTGCTGCTTCAAATGCTTAGAAAAAAAATTTACTTGGGAAGTTTTGGATTGAGTTTTGAAACCTATTTGTTGCTTGAGAAGCTTTTTTTTATGAACTTTTTTCTGTTGAAATTTTCATTTGAACGGTTAAATGACATTTTAACACCACCTGTTATATGTTCCTAAAACCCGGATGTCTTTTTCCGATGTTGTATCGATGTAGCAAGCACGTTTAAGAATCGTGACAGCTATTTTTTGATGTTATCTGCCTTTACCATCGTCATACTCAACGTTATGGATTTCTTGTTTGTGCTTGCTATGCTTTGTTATTGACCTGTATGTTTCCCTTAAGATAATGCACGAAAATACAACCTTCATTTTCTTAAATCTGCTGCAGGTTCCTATTTCCTGTTGCTTGACTGTGACTGCGGTAAACACCAACGTCCTCTTTTACTAGTGTCAATGGACCATGCAACATCGCATGATCAAAGATATTGACTTCTGTTAGTGCTGAGGATACAGTGTGTGAATCAGATAACGGTAGTTTCTTGAATAAATTCTTAAATGGATTGAATTGGTAGCTACAATGCGCTCATCTGGACTTGTTGACCCTGGATGGGACCATGGCGTTGCTCAAGATGAGAGGAAGAAAAAGGTTAAATGCAATTACTGTGGAAAAATAGTTAGTGGTGGAATATACAGATTGAAGCAACATTTAGCCCGAGTTTCTGGAGAAGTTACTTATTGATAAAGCTCCAGACGATGTATACTTTCGTATGAAAGAAAATATGAAAGGAAGTCGTTCTCATAAGAAACCTAGGCTTTCCGAAGATATTGGCCAAGCATATCTGAATTTCCAATCCAACGATGACGAAGAAGATGTGCATGTTGGTTATAGAAGCAAAGGAAAGCAGTTGGTGGGTGAGAGGAATTTAGCTATGAAATTGACTCCTCTTCGGTCGTTAGGGTATGTTGATCCTGGGTGGGAACATGGCGTTGCTCAGGATGAGAAAAAGAAAAAGGTGAAATGCAATTATTGCGAGAAAATAGTTAGTGGTGGTATCAATCGGTTTAAACAACATTTAGCTAGAATTCCTGGAGAAGTAGCACCTTGTAAACATGCTCCTGATGATGTCTATGTTAAAATAAAGGAGAATATGAAATGGCATCGTACTGGAAGGAGACAGAGACAACCCGATTCCAAGGACATATCAAATTTTGATCCTCTGTCAGATAATGAAGGCCAAGACGATGACCAAATGGAAGCTGTTCTGCCACATATGAGCCAGGAAAGCTTCATCGATGGTGATAGGAGATTGGGCCAAAATTTGAGACATACATTCTTGTCGCTGCCTCCCAGCACTGGTTCTGAACCATTATTTAAAAGATCAAGGCTCGATTCTCTGTTCTTGACATCTCCTAAGAGTTTTCCACCACAATCTTACAAGCAAGCAAGGGTCAGAACAATGTCAAATAAAATTTCCCACAAGGAAGTTATTTCCGGAATTTGCAAATTCTTTTACCATGCAGGAGTTCCTATACAAGCAGCAGACTCCCTATACTTTCATAAGATGCTGGAATTGGTTGGCCAATATGGGCAGGGTATGGTTGCACCTCCAAGCCAAATAATAACCGGTCGGTTTCTACAAGAGGAAATTGCAACCATTAGAAACTACCTGGCTGAGTATAAGGCATCATGGGCAACCACTGGCTGTTCTATTATGGCCGACAGTTGGAGAGACACAGAGGGTAGAATATTGATAAACTTGTTGGCTTCCGGTCCAAATGGTGTGTACTTTGTTTCTTCAGTTGATGCCACTGAAATTGTTGAAGATGCTTTGAATTTGTTTATGTTGCTGGACAAAGTGGTTGAAGAGATGGGGGAGGAAAATGTAGTTCAGGTATTTGATTTTATTTGGGTTTGATTTGTTTCTCATATAGTTGCCCATCTCGAACTGTCTTACGCTACTAACTTTGCTTTGCGTCTAATCCCCAGGTAATCACTCCAAATACTCCTAGTTATAAGGCTGCTGGAAAGATGCTTGAGGAGAAGAGAAAGAATTTATTCTGGACCCCATGCGCCACCAGTTGTATCGATCAAACGCTTGAAGATTTTTTGAGGATAAGATGCGTAGCGGAGTGCATGGAGAAGGGCCAAAAAGTTACAAAGCTCATTTACAACCAAGTTTGGTTGTTAAATTTTATGAAGAGTGATTTCACACAGGGGAAGGAACTTTTGAGATCGTCTATCACCCGGTTTGCTTCTAGCTTTGCTACCTTACAAAGCTTGCTGGACCACAAGACTGGTCTTAAAAGAATGTTTCAATCAAACAAATGGATTTCATCTCAGTGCTCCAAATCATTTGAGGGAAAAGAAGTGGAAAATATTGTCTTAAATGCTGCATTTTGGAAGAAGTTACAGTTTGTTAGGAATTCAGTGGACCCGATAATGCAAATTCTTCAAAAGGTTGAGAATGGTGACCACTTGTCAATGTCATCTATATATAATGACATGTACAGGGCAAAGATTGCAATAAAAACCATTCATGTCCGTAAATATGAACCATTTTGGAGCGTTATAGAGAGTCATTGGAACTCACTGTTCTACCACCCTGTATACGTAGCTGCTTACTACTTAAATCCATCATACAGATATCGACCTGATTTTACGGCGGTAGGAGAAACAATGGCTGCTTGTGTTTTTTATCATGATGTTAAGTTATTTCCTAATCCAGTTGGTAATTTGTGTAGCATACTGAGGTGATGCGTGGACTTAACGAATGCATTGTTCGGCTGGAGCCAGACCATTCAAATAGGATTTCTGCATCTATGCAGGTAATAGTTTTTTCGTACTCGATTTCATTATTTGGATCCTGAATGGTTTTATATATTGAGATGGGTCTTATTATATTTTCCCATTCTGTATCCGAACATCTCAGATTTCTGATTACAATTCTGCTAAAGCTGATTTTGGAACTGAATTGGCAATCAGTACAAGAACAGAGCTTGATCCAGGTATAGCATTAGACTGCCATGCTACATGTTTTAGATTTCCGGTATATGTATGCCCTCTGGGCGTTATTCCATTAGTTGATACATTTCTCCGTTTTTGTTTCTTGTTTCTTATTAGCTGCATGGTGGCAACAACATGGGATAAGTTGCTTAGAGCTGCAGCGTATAGCTGTGCGTATATTGAGTCAGACATGCTCTTCTTTTGGGTGTGAGCATAACTGGAGTATATACGATCAATTGTACAATCCGAGAAGTAATCGTTTGGCCCAAAAAAGGTTAAACGACCTCATCTACGTTCATTACAATTTGCGTCTTAGAGAACAAAAATTACGAAGAAGGCCGGAAAATTCAACCTCCCTTGACAATGTGCTGTTAGAGCGGTTGCTAGATGATTGGATTGTAGATGCTGCGGAAAATGACTTGCTAGACAATGAGGTATTTCAAGTGTAGATTCTATTATCCGGCAGAGTGGCTTGGTTTTGTGCCATTGACACCAAAGGCTTCTTTATAAAACTACACGAAATCTTATGCATTGTCTGAAATCAAGTTCTTTATCATTTCTCTGTTAGGAAGTCCTTTACAACGAAATCGAACAGGTTGATGAATACGAAAATGATCTCGTTGATTACGAATGTGGAATTGCAAACGGAGAGACTAGGAACGGATCCATTGAGCTGGTAACCTTGGCTGATGCAGATGTCAATCCGGCCAATGCTGGCGTTGCCACCGATGATGATGACGAGGAGGAGGAGGGGGCGGAAGGTGAGATGAACTTTTTCCATGATGACTTGAGTGATTAGCAAGTTGTAGACCTTCAACTAACAAAGATGCAATGGTGGTGAGGAAGCTCTGCCTTAGTGGTGTAATATATTCCAGCTTACTTGTTTTGCAAGTTACCTATGGAAGTAAAACAGGGCGTCCTTACATGTAATATTCTTCAACCTTTTTGCTCAAATGTTACTAACTCAACCGCTTTTTGAATCTCCAAAGCATTTACATTGTCTAATATGATTTTATGTTACACACGTAACGGATACAAATATCAGATAAATTTAGAAGAAATAAAAAAGCATTAAACGGTGGATACATAAAAAATTTTAAATTTTAAAATCCTACAAAATATGGGAGGTTCAAATTATTTTCTGAGAATTCCGAAATTACCAACCAAGTTTCTTCTTTTTTCATTTATTATTTACCTAAACTTCACATGTTTATAAACAGCTTAGCCGCCATTATCTTAACATTGTGATGTTCTAATATTTTGGTCACTGTAGATCATTTTTGTCCCTTCGTGAAAATTATGTCAATATTCTCATTAAGTGGAGCGGTTAGTTTGATAAAAATATTCTTAAAATGGTTGTCACGTAGTTGTTCATATTACAATTTAATGAGGATATTGATTGATTTTTCACATAATAACCAAAATGATTTACGGTGAACAAACTTAAGGATCACTTCTATCTATTTTCATTGTCAAAGGCCAAAGTAAGGGTCATGTCAATCTCAATAACCATTTTGGCTAAGAAAACCTTTCATCCATAACTGAAATGTCAAATCAACCCAAAGTTACCATTACATTTCCATTCTTTTTAGCCAAAATGATCTTTGAAATTTATATAACTCCTTACTTTAGTTCCTGACTTTTAAAATTGATAGAAGTGGTTTGTCCACCGTAAATCATTTTGATCATTTTGTGAAAAATTTCCGTTAAATAGAAAAGCAAATTGAGGGGTTGATTGGACAAAGATACCCCCAATTTAACGGAGATTGATTGACAATGGACAAACTCAGGACCACTTCTATCGATTTTCAATCTAAATGACTAAAGTAAGGAGTTATGTCAATCTCAGATACCGTTCTGACTAAAAAGCCCCCAAAAATTAAAAACAAAACTCGTCCCATCAAAGCAAAAATAAAAAAATTACCAATCCATTTCCCAAAAAGTGGTATAAAGCTTGTTTCTTCAATACTAAGGTTGCATCTATCATGTTTGTAAAGTATGTTTCCAATCTGTAGACTATATATTCTCTCCATTAGCAGCTTTGCTTTCCTTGGCTTTGTCTTTTGATTTGATTCTTCGTTTCCGAGTTAATTAGGGCTTAATTGCATGTGTGTTGTGGAGGATGGAATTTAGTCTTGTGAGGTTGCAAAGATATGTTCTCCGTAGCTTTCTTTTTCTTCTTTTGATTTATAATACTTACAAGAATTAGCTTCCTTGCATTGCATGGTTGCTATGTGAAGCTTTTGAATTTTTTTATTTTTTTAAGAATAATATTTCATGGAAAACTTTTGGCTGAATGATTTTTTAATTTTTGGATGAATAATCAAACTCTATATTATATTACAGGAAATTTGTCATCCATTATTTGGAGAACTATATTTTTTTTAAGAAATTTTTTTGAAATGTCATATGAACTTATACACTTTTTTAGTGTGTCATACAAATTAATTTTTTAAACGATTTGTCATATCAATTTTCTAAAATTCTTAGTTTGTCATCTTATCTTAACCCCGTTAAAGTTTCCATCCAAAATAATTCACGTGCATTGTACATTACTTGTATTTAGGGTAATTTCAGACTTTTGACCTCATTTTCACAAGTTTTTTTTTAATTTTTATTTTATTTTTATACAAGGATATATTTATACTAGGAGGTGGAGGAAGAAATTGGTTTCGGACATTTGACCTCTTTTTCACAAGCTACTTCTCTTTGGTATGAACCCAAAAATTTTGACTAGTAATAAAAAAGTATGTCGTGTTCGTTTCAAAAACTTAAGGTGAACTATTAAAAAATTATATTAGGCTTATTAACATGTAGTTTAACTAATTACAAGCTTTGAGAATTTAACGCGATCCACCTATTCTTTAAAAAAGGAGTTGAAATATCGGAAATAATCTTGAAAGAGTGTGAGGAGTTAAAAAGCTGGAAATAACCTTGAAACCAAGTCATTTGCAAGGCATATGGCTTATTTTGGGTGGCAAACTTAACAGAGTTAGGATGAAATGACAAATTAATGATTTTGAAAAGTTGATATGACAAATTTCTCAAAATTTTAGTTTATACGACAAATTAAAAAAGTTGTACAAGTTCATATGATGTTTCAAATTTTTTTTCTTTTTTAAAAAGAAAGTTTGGTTGCCAATTCAAACAATAAATAGTTCCTTTTGCAGCTCTGATCTCACCACCTAAGTTGTCTGAGTTGCTTTGTGTTGTAAAACAAAGCAACTAACTTTCTGAAGTGCTGCTGCTCGTCAAAAACAGCAAGTTAACATTAAGACATGGCTGAGGTAAATCCTGTCGATGGAGAGGCAGTCAAGGAGCGGGACGTGGCAGCATCAAACGGCGATTCAACCGTGGAGGATTCCGAAAACAATGCGCAAGATACGAGCAAGAGCAAGGAGGATGGCACCAAAACAGTACCATATTACAAGCTTTTCTCCTTTGCTGATTCCTTGGATTACATGCTAATGTCTGTGGGTGTAATCAGCGCCATTGGAAATGGGCTCTGTCAGCCCCTAGTGACTGTAATCATAGGAGATATGATTAATTCTTTTGGAGGAACTGGGAATACCAAAGATGTGGTGGGTGCAGTTTCTAAGGTAAATATTCTGTGGCTAAAACCAAGTAAAAACTTTTCTTTACGAATACATATTTACTAGGAATCATGGACCTAATAGGACTTGGAATCATGGACTCGATTCAAATCTTGTCTAGTCAAACGGTCGTTCCATTACAATTTGTGTCTGAACTTCCTTTTTTTGAACTTTTAATTTGGCTTATGGAGTCTGCGGTTTAGTTGCTAAATAGGATCATATCCTCAGGTAGCTCTGAAGTATGTTTACTTGGCCGTGGGAGCTGGTGCTGCTGCATTTCTGCGTAAGTATTACTGAGCTCCCTTCGAGTATTGAACAAATAACTTGGCTTCTTGGAAACTGAGATAATCAATTAGCTTTTGCTGTATGTCAGAGATGTCTTGCTGGATGATCACCGGAGAGAGACAGGCTGCACGAATAAGAGGCTTATATTTGAAAACAATATTAAGGCAAGATGTTGGTTTTTTCGATAACGAAACAAACACTGGGGAAATTATTGGGAGGATGTCAGGTGATACTGTGCTCATTCAAGAGGCCATGGGCGAGAAGGTATCTACACGCCACAAAAAGCCTCAAGTGATTGCCATTTTCTCTAGCAGTCTCTAATTTTTTTCATGTTCTTCTTGCAGGTAGGAAGTTTTATCCAATTAATTGCAACATTCATCGGAAGCTTTATTATCGCATTTGTTAAGGGGTGGCTTCTCACCCTTGTCATGCTATCGTCCATTCCCCTTCTTGTCTTCTCTGGGGCCATGATGGGCATCGTTATATCGAAGTTGGCATCCCGTGGGCAAACTGCTTATTCACTGGCATCAACTGTGGTAGATCAGACAGTTGGTTCAATCAGAACTGTATGCTTACTTGTCTTTAAAATAACATTTTATTTTCTATAATCTCTTGTTATAGAACAAAAACGATGAGTATTCGCATTGCAGGTTGTCTCATTTACAGGAGAGAAACATGCCATAGCTAATTACAACAGCTCCTTGATTAAAGCTTACAAGTCGGGTGTGCACGAGGGTTTGGCTTCTGGATTTGGGATTGGTTCTATGAGGCTTATTGTAATGTGTAGTTATGGTTTGGCTATATGGTTTGGCGGAAAGATGATAGTTGAAAAAGGATATACAGGAGGAGAAGTAATGAATGTAGTTTTCGCTGTGTTGAATGGCTCCCTGTAAGTTGCAATTTAGTAAAATTTGATCAATAATTTTTGTGACCCTAGCATGATTTCACTGGTAACACCCCAAAATTTTATATTTGAGGCTACAGAATGTCGAGATATGAACATGTCTCTGTGATAAATTTTCAGGTCCCTTGGGCAGGCATCTCCATGCATGAGTGCATTTGCTGCTGGAAAAGCTGCAGCTTATAAAATGTTTGAGACGATTAACAGAAAGCCTGAGATAGATACTTATGACACTAATGGGGAGCAGTTACAAGAGATCCATGGAGAGATTGAACTGAGGGATGTTTATTTTAGTTATCCTGCAAGACCAGGTGAACAAATATTCCGTGGATTTTCTCTCTCAATACCTAGTGGTGCAACTGCTGCTTTGGTTGGAGGAAGCGGAAGTGGTAAATCCACTGTAATCAGTTTGATTGAGAGATTTTATGACCCCCAAGCTGGGGAAGTTCTTATCGATGGTCTTAATCTGAAAGAATTCCAGCTGAAATGGATCAGACAGAAAATAGGCCTTGTCAGTCAGGAACCCGTTTTGTTTACTTGTAGCATTAAAGATAACATTGCTTATGGGAAGGAGCGTGCAACTAATGATGAAATAAGGGCTGCTGTTGAGCTTGCTAATGCAGCTAAATTCATAGACAAACTGCCTCAGGTTAAATTCGTTTATACTTACTCTAAGTTTGGGTGTTTCTTTGTTGATCTTACCATTTCGATACATTAAAAGATGGAACCATAGCATAATTCAGCTCATTCAATTCATTTTTTAGGGACTAGACACAATGGTTGGTGAACATGGAGCTCAGCTATCTGGGGGACAAAAGCAGAGAGTTGCTATAGCTAGAGCAATCTTGAAAGACCCAAGAATTCTACTTTTAGACGAAGCCACAAGTGCTCTCGATGCAGAATCTGAGAGAGTTGTGCAGGAGGCATTGGATAGAATTATGATTGGTCGCACTACTGTTGTTGTAGCCCATCGTTTGAGCACAGTAAGGAATGCTGACACCATTGCAGTTATACATAGAGGGACAATTGTTGAAAAAGGTAACACTTTTGTTTTCTGTTTCCCAGCTTACTTCCAAAAAAATTTGAAGTATCATTACACATAATCTGAATTAATTAATGAGTACTGCACATACTGAGCTTTTCACGTAAGCAGGACCACATTCTGAGCTAATTAAGGACTCTGAAGGAGCATATAGCCGGCTTATAAGGTTGCAAGAAATGAGAGC